TTTAATATATTTCTGTTTACACAATGATAGTTATCGTTGACATTTCTTCAATTATTCCTTTGAGTCTGTCTTAGAGTTTACAAGGACTATATTGCAATAATAAATATGTTTTTTGTTACACCATGTTATTGTTAGATAATTTTTCCTTGCATATCTTAGGRGTCCACAACACCATTTGTCTAAAAACAGCATGGTATAGGCCACRTTCGATAGCTATCATAAAATTCTGACTTGATTGCAAGTCTTAAGTCGCATGGTACTTCATGTATACTACAAACTTATGAATCATCAAATACATTTATTCGTAGGAATAAAATAATATACCATATACGACGTTCCTACCTTTGGGCAATAATTATTTAAAAAAATTGGTTGAAATGCTAGGGAGTTTTCTGCTCAACAACGTTATAATTGAATCTACAGCCCTATACACCGTTCTCATAATGGCTAACAAGCGCACCAAAACAAGGCCACCCAGTCATCTTGCAAGGCTGCTCATACAAAATAAAGGTGGATAGCGCGAATTCAGKTCAAAACAAAAAGTCAATTTCTATGCTTTTCTTWASTTTYCTTCTATGAACGCATTKCATGTGCTTTTATATCTTCTATTGTAAACTAATGACTGGTTGACCTCGTTTTCGTGCACTTGTCAGCCATTATGAGAAYGGTGTATATCTACTGATCATTTTGATTACGGAGAGCCTCGGTATCGAGCTAGAATTTTAATTTTTAATTTTCTTCTCAAACGTATTATCTTTCTCAAAAAGGGCTCCTTTTTGCTGAGCAAAGTCTCTGATAACAACTTGGGTCTATCTAATTTTCTTTGTCAAGCTCCGTATTATTATTATTATCATCATTATTATTATTTTTTTTTTTTTGCAGTTGACCACAGACTGTGAATAATCAGAATAAGCCGGCCAGGGGGAGATTTATCATTAAACTTGGTACTAATCCTCGCTTACCCAGGAGACAAAGGAAAAAAAACGGACAAGTTCGAAGCCTAATGTTTATTAGTGTTCATGATTTAATGTTTGTGTGGAGGGGGGAGTTGTAGAATTGACGTTTTCCTTCCCGCGATGGCAAACGTGACCACTTTTTCGTCGTTCTTCTGTGTTTCACTTAACCTTTTGCAAACCTTTTCACCAAAGACAAATATTCTTTTATTTATCTACTACTTGGAAACTTTTGCGATTACTTTTTACTATGGRTTTTAAAGAGTCAACGACGCTTCACGTTTGCCGTAAACAAGACTCTAAAACTCTTTATTGATTTGGCAAGAAATAATTGCGGGGAGTCAATTTATTCAGTATTATCCATGCATTGCATTCTATAGTTTAACTTTATTGATTATATTATTATTATTTTTCTCCTATATCCATTCTACTTCATTTGGTAAGTGCGTATATGTTTTCTTTCAGTTCTCGGAAGAAGACTYGTTTCACAGACCACTAAAACAAAACGAAAAAATAAATGGTATGTAACAACAAACTGATATCAATGTTAACGATTTTAAGTAAGCCTACCTCTTCTAATCGTTGTTAATGAAGTCAGAGTCAAACCAGATTTTTCTGCCRATCTTAATAGTGGCCCTTTGCTCTTCTGCATCCTCCCCTATGAAGGACACRATGTATGAACTTTCCGTCAAGGGGTCATCAATCTCGCCACCACTGCGCCTTTCTTKGGGGATTCCAACGATCTCGATTTCAATTCCATAACTGAGAAGAATCTTGGAAACACCGTAAGGTATGTCTTCAAGCTCAACCAACTAGTGAAACAAAAAGAAATATCGTTATTCTATTAATTTTTCATTAAATAGCTTGTAAAAGAAAGGCGTTAGCACATACTTGCAGGAAGTCTGGCTTCTTAACTGGAATGTGCGAGATGTAGGCCTTCTCTTCATCTCCRTACAGAAAGTACGTGCTCTTGTCAGGATACTTGAAAACACTGGCATCAAAGTGATCAAACCTGGACACGTCCACAACCCTGATTTTGGTTCTCATGAAAGGCCTGTTGTCTCCAGTTGGGATACCAGAGTAGCAGTCCACCTGTATCAAAATAAACTACTCATTACGACTGAATGTTTCCAGTCCCCAGAATGGATCGTTAGCAAGCATTCCTAAGAGATTCAAATGGGTAGCGTTGGYGGATCCAGGAATTTTATAAGGGGGGTGACTATAACAAAGACTTTACCATGAATGCAAGGAAAAGGGGGTGGCTTACTAAGGATAATACTGAGAAATWTGAGCAAAAGAGGGGTGGCTTTACTACCCCTTTACTACCYCTGGATATGCTCCTGTGGTAGAATTACGATGAAAGCTAATGAGATATATATTTTTGTTAAATACCGCCACCGGTGCAAACGAAGAATACGACCAGACTATCGAATGATCAACTATCAATGATATAGCTGTTAGCTGTGCAGTAACCACAGTTATAAAGGTTTCAGATCCTTCTAGGGACCCACTACAAACCTCAACTTCAGGTTCCCGTCTTCCCTCTTCTCCCTCTTCAAAGTCATACAACAACAGATCATGAAGGCATTTTTGCTCCACACTTCGTAACACCAGAGGTTCTGTTCCCCTTCTTGCGGCTCCCTGGATTGCTGGCTCTCCATCAGCGGGATTGATGAACTGAACTTTTGCAAGAGCGTGGTACTGGTGTGAGACGTTGGGGAACTTTCCAGCATAGTACACAATCATGTTGTTCTTCCCATCGATGTGACCAGTGGTTACGAGGTCATGATGGACATTAGGATCTGTCACCTGGAAAAAAAAGCAGCAAAAAACACCACCTTTAAAAGTGTGAAGAGAATTTGAAGAGCGTTTGAGAAGATGAWAATGAACTTTTCGTTATTTAATAATTTCTCTTATTTTAAAAAACCCACCGTCCCAATGGAACAGAGAATGGTGTTCCTCATAATTGATGTCAATTCTTCCAGGAATTCCATGCTCGTAGCCCAAGGATCCATGCARGTGGTGATGATGTACTTGACACCGGTAGTGTCGTATGGATCAACCTGTTGTTATTGTCATCGAAAAGTTAAGAAAAAATGGATATAAACTAATGATTCAAATGTGTGAGATCATTTATTGAAGAAATCATTTTCTAATGGATGGCATACCCCTAGTCGTTTTTTGAGTTCCTTCAGTGCAACGCTGTGCGGATGATGTGCATAAGTCGATGCAGTCACAATCATTGGAAACCTGAAAGAAGCGATCCTGTCATCCGACATGCAAAGATCTTTAAATACGGCCTGGACGATGTCATTGACTTTGTTCACATCAGTGTTGCCCTTAACATTCAAGGTGAAGCAAGGAACATTTGTATCTGGACCAACTTCACGAAGATATTCCATCACTTCATCATTCTGTATTAATGAAAAGAACCCTTGAGATGCAAACTCTACTAACGTTTTGTCAACTTTATTTGTTTCGAATTATACCTCAACCAATTCTTCGTTTGTTTTTCCAATAATGTGCCTTTTGATGAATTTGATGTGTTCTTCACGGGTACGGCCAGGGGGTAGAGGTTTGGTGGGTACAATGAAGAATGGGTCGTCCCAATTTGCAAGAGTGGTCCAGTAGCAATAAAGCAGCTTAGCAGTAAAAGTGCATTCACCAAGGATTCTTCCATAGCCATTCTTATGCAGACCTACCACCTGCAGAATATACAACATTTATTCGTTAAGAAAGTTTAGCCAATGAACGGGGGAAATCGAAAGCTTCCGATCAAGTAGACAAATTACCCTGTGTGCCATGACAACTCCGGCAGCAGCTGCTCCGGGTTTGGATCCTTCAATACCAACATCTCCAAGATTCAGTGATCCATGGTAATAGGTAACCTGGTTAGTGATTCCCAAGAAATTGTTGATCCTTCTATCACGATAACAGGTAGCACCACCAGGGTAGGGACAGAAACCACTTTTGTGTGGATCAATGGTGATGGTATCAACGTTTGGGATCGCTGATAGTTGGGCTACAGTGTAGGAATTGRGGTTTAGCTCGGGTACAAACCAAGAGGAGTCCTCACTCGTTTGAACCAATGGAGTTGGTGGAGTACGTAACATGGTACAGAAGTATCCTCCCCATGCTCCATCAGCATGAATCATGAAGTCCAACCCCTATAACGAAAAGATGAAAGGCAAATTACAATCGTCACACTGGATAAGCAGGCAATTAAACGGACAACTCACTCTTGTTCTCATTTCTTCCCGGATCTCAAGAATGTCTACGAGGGGGTCTACAGCACTCTCTTCAGTGGTACCCATCACTGCNGTTCTCATTTCTTCCCGGATCTCAAGAATGTCTACGAGGGGGTCTACAGCACTCTCTTCAGTGGTACCCATCACTGCTACCACGCTGACGACAGGGATTTGATTGGCCAGCTTGTCTTCCAGGATRTCTCGCAAACCTGGACCAGAGATAGATATCATGAGATGTTTCTCACTATCAAACATTGATAACTGATTTTGAAAATGCTCACCCTTAACGTYCATTCTAGCATTCTCATCGACAGGGACTGTAATCAGATTTGCTTTGCCTATACCAGTTATCGTGGCTCCTTTRAACAACGAAATGTGGGCCGTGGTAGGTGCAAGGGAACAGGGGTTTGTTTTAAGGTTGTGACGCTCCAAGAAAACCTGGGTGCCAATAGACTCGTAAGCATAATTGGACAATATGCCTGACAAGTCTGATTCACTGATGGCACACCTTGTGGCTACCTAAAATATAAAGATAGGAACAACAAATTTAAGATTTATTGCATAGTATGCCTTAGATAATGATAGGTATTTTACTTGTCACTAAGAGCTAACCCTTTCTGGTAGTTCGATGATCTCATCTGTTTTCAGATTCAGAAGTTCCCAGCTCGTTGCATCCACAATCTTCACGTCTTGTTTCTTTGATGGTAGATAAACAGTAAGTTCCCTTGCGTTGGCAAGAGCATCTTCTTTCAAGATTGCTTCTTGAAGACCTAAAGCATAGTACTTGACGTTGCGAGCAGCCCACATAGACTCGATGTTCGCTAAAGTACCTCCAGTGACAAGATGACCCATGGCCTTGTCCGGATCGAAGCCWACCATCTTGCAGAGATCCAAGCCCACTTCTACTTCATATGGAGTAGTCACAGTGGAGGCTTCAGCAGCACAGTTGTTTGCATTAAACAGCAAGGCAGTGATGTAACCGAGGTTGGAAGGCATGACGGTGTCCCATGTCACATGACCCTGGGGAAGGTTAAGGTTAATACTTGAAAATCATTTCATTTGACTAAAATGTACATCGCATACCTTGTAACGAGAACTAAAGAAAGGCACAGCTTTAATGAGCTGTTTCTGCATATTCTGAAGCTCGTCGTCAGTTTTCTTCATAACTTCTTGGAACGAAGCTGATTGGCGCATTTCGTCTGTGACGTAGGGTGGGTCAAATGGAAAATAACTACAGAGGAGAAAATACAGACGCAAAATGAAAATTCATTTATCGAAAAGAAACAATTGATTATAATCACCACGGTTAGCGTTTAAAGAATGTTATTTCATAAAATACCTATCTCTGAACTTGATATGKGTTTCTATTGCTCTGTTGACGAAGCCTTTAAATTCCTCTGCGTTGTCAGCCTTTGGTCCCAAGAACCACGCTCCGGTTTTTGCCCATGGTTTGCTTGTATCTTCAGCGCGGTCGAAGTTTGGCCTGCKGTGCTGGTACATGCGTATCTTTCTTTTACCGCTGCCTTGGCGATGCATTTTCGACGATTCAATTCAACTAACAGAAATAAAAGTGGCGTTTTATAGTTTTTCATAGCATCAAACTTACCATGCAATAAGGAGCTGGGAGCACAATATTTTCCAATTAATTGTAGGAATTGATCAAGGAGGTTGCCAGAAAGCTAAGGAGAAATTCCCTCTATTYCTTTATTTCTTATCCCTTTTTGTCAATAATTATAATTTGTTATAGCGTTGTTGAGTGATCAACAGGCTGGCCTTTCCACCAAACTTTTCGAATACTTTAAACGATAACCTTCAGATAACACTTATTGGTTAAAGCATTTTAACATTTRTAAAAATGTGAATAAATCGTTCCCCCCTATATATATGCATAAATTTGCCTCAACATTGAGTCAAAATTAGAACTTGTCCTTTTGATGTCTGAGTTATACTCTTAGAATATGAATAAGTTACACAGAATTTTTTCTATGAAAAAAATATAAATTTTCTTAAAATTCGAAAATGTCTAAAAATGACGGAATCTTAATCGTTTTACTTTTTCATAGGCTGGCTAAGGAATGGGAACAAACGTGTTTAAAGTGGGGTTATCATCGAGAAAAGGTACGTATCGAATTCTATTATTCTATTCCTTTTGTTAATTATATTGGTAATACGACTGTGTCTGCCCTGGATTCCAAAGGTTAGGCCCCGTCCACACGTATCCGTTTGCGTTTGAAAACGAAAATCTTCTATTCCATTCCGCAAGACCAATCCACRAAGAAAGAATTCCGTTTTCAAAAATATCCGAATAGGTGTGGACGGGACCTCATTCTCCCCCTATCATTCGCTGTTTTGAAGTTGAGCACCTCAATTTACCCAGTGATCTAAACTAAACTAAACTAATCTGTGGACTGAGAATCTATAGAGGTCAGGTTAAATTATGTATAGAATTCAAAACGATAGAGAAAAAAAAGTAAAAAGTACCAACTGATTATTCACTAAATTTCGCCACCAAATCAGTAGAAAACAAAGAAAATTTCGCGATGTACGATCTGCAACAACATTGAACGAAGAGCATGACTCTTTTTGAGTTCGTGTTTGTGCTGCTTTCGAGTGAAAATAGAATYGGACAGCCCTGAACTACTCTCGAAGATAGGCTAAGAAACAGGAATTTTTTTCCCGCAACATTCCTGTTGCATTTTCCATGAGATCCAGGCTTGTACATGAAACTATATATTCTCTATTTGAGTTCGGAGTAAAATAATGCAGCACGCAGAAAAAGGCCATGTACTAACAGAGAAAACTGAATAATTGATTATTCCTAAAGAAATTTCCCCCAAGATTTTCAGCCTTACCGGTACCTTGAAAAACAGAAGAGCACAGTGAAGAGCACAGTGAAGAGCACAGTGAAGAGCACAGTGATCACCTTTGTAGTGCGGTAAAAGGAAAATTGGATCAAGGAGTTCCTATATACCTTTCCCGAATTCGTTTGAGCGACCACGAATCAATAAATAGCTTCGAGTCGAGGTTCAACTTGATGTGTTCATACATTTACTGTATTTTATCAACTCCAACCTCGACTTGAAACCATTGTTTTGTGATCACTCCAGGGAGTTCGGGCAAGGCCTATTATACCATTAAACGCTCGTCAACATGCAGTACGTTGCGCAAAAAGCAATACGTTACCCAAGTAACAAAACATTKAAGACACAATACCGATGGATCGTTCTTATGGAATAATGATAATAGTAATAATGGAAAGTTCTTATATGGCGCATTATACTTGCGTCTCAATGCGCTCCACAATCTTTGATTTTCAGTGGAGGACTTTACGGGCTGCAACACAGCTTACAATCATGGGAAGTGATCAGATCAGATCAGATCTCATCTTAAAAGTCAAATTTAATAACGCAAAAAATTGTTTTTATAAATACCGAGTTTTCTTCCAAAGATGATTTATGCTCAACCGTTTTTGATCTTCGACGGGGGTTCTATATGCCTATTCATAAAAAATAATAATTACATAGAAAAGGRCAAAATATCTAATACATAAAGAAACAGTAGTATAAGAAAAGTTGATTTCTAAAGACAATGAGAACAACGTTCAGAATCTAGTATAAATTGTTGAAAGGCAAAAAATTATATCTCATTTTCAGCTTTAGATGAATCTTTTGAACCGTACAACAGAAAGAAATTTTCCTGCAGATACATTAAAACAAGATATATTAAGTCCGCCTGCAGGGATCTCTTGCTGGGAGTTATCTAAAAAAGCTAATTGATACTTTTCTGAAACATTCGGTAACTATAAAGCTAGACCAAGATGGTAAAAAATTACATCTTCTTAAAAGAGGTTTTAGGGTTTATTGGTCAGAAAATTCTCTTTATTTCAGTTTTGCTATTTACCTAAAGCATTGAATCAGCTGAAGGAGTATTGCGTTGTTACTAAGCCAACAATTCCCGCTAGCGAACATATACATTGATCACGATTATTGAAGTAAATTCAAAATAAAACACTTTTTTTTCCACATATTTCTTTATTTTCACATTTCCATTTAATGATGCTAGATCAGTCGTGTTTGCCATGCAATTCATGCTAAACGTCGCCTTCAATCCATTTTCCTGCACCTGTAAACAGGAATAAAAAGATTGGTTAAGAATAGTCGATGACCAAATACCACTTATAACTATAATAATYTCACTTTGGTCAGTACCGGTGATATTATTGTTATTCAATACTTTCTCTGTCATTCTTTTGAAAACAACCATGAGATGATCATAATCGCTCCGCAATAGTTAAAATGAATAATATTTGGGCGTTTATTAAATTTTTTATGAGTGTTTTTTTCTTTCAGTGTTTTGAATATGCTAGCGCATAAAACGAATACTGATACATACTTAACTATTCATCATTGATGATCTCGCCATCAAACCATATCTTATGTCCAATCTTGATGTTTGCACTCTGTTCCTGACCGCCTTCTCCGGTGAAGGTTACCACGTAATTAGCGTCACTAAGCGGGTCTCCAATATCTCGTCCTTGTTTTATTGGTTTKCCATCGAAAGGGAGCTCGATCTCGATGCCATGGTTGAGAAGATGCTTGGAAACATTCTCAGAAACAGACTCTAATTCAACCAACTGAAATATGAAGAGCAATCGTCATCAGAAACTCATCATCATTTATTAGCAAC